GATGTGGAAGACCTTCAAGAGGTGGAGATGCTGGAATGCGACGGGCTGAAAGTGGACTCGAACAAGGAGTTTGTGACTTCCAATGAGAGCACCGAGGAGAGCTCCAACTGCGAGAACGGGTCTCCGCAGAAAGGCCGCGGAGGCCTGGGCAAGAGAAGGAAGGCGCCCACCAAGAAAAGTCCCTTGAGTGGGGTCAGCCAGGAGGGAAAGCAGGTCCAGCGCAACGCGGCCAACGCGCGCGAGCGGGCCCGCATGCGGGTGCTGAGCAAGGCCTTCTCCAGGCTCAAGACCACGCTGCCCTGGGTGCCCCCGGACACCAAGCTGTCCAAGCTGGACACGCTTAGGTTGGCGTCCAGCTACATCGCCCACTTGAGGCAGATCCTGGCTAACGACAAGTACGAGAACGGTTACATTCACCCGGTCAATCTGGTGAGTCCAGGGTCGTGCCTGCGGTTGTGCCAGCGCGAGAGCGCGCGAGCGCGCGCGGGGCTGGACCTGGGGTGGGGCGGGGTGTGATTTACCGACCTGGCCACCTAGGAACCGGTTGTGCTTGCACAGCCTAGCGCCTCCGGACCCGCTGCAGGATCTCCCCACACAGCCCTCGCTCTCCACTCTACGGGTCGCTGGCCCGGGAGTGATTTATGCCAGGTTTTGACGTGGCAGCCCAATTAGGGATTATCCAAGGGTATTAAACTGGCAAAGGGGAGGAATCCCCGAGCCGGTGCCAAAGCCTCTCCTGATGGCGTGAAGGTGCTGGTGTCAGACAACACTGACAAGACGCTTGACGCTTGAGATCCATTTATTCTTCCCTTCGGTTTGCTTTTAGCTGAGAGTAAAACTTGACTTTCCCTTCTAATTCTTGTAACTCCGTTTCTTCTCAGGAATACTTGGGACCATTAGCTATGGATCCATTCATAACTTCCCTTATAATTATTCGTGTAAGCCACCCAGCTACTTAAATATTCTGTGCTTCTATAAAGGGATTGACATTTAAAATCCCACCATCTCGAGAGTGCATAATCAATAAATTTGCAAAAACATTAGTATAACGAATAATATGAGAATAATGTCATGCTCATCCAAGATTTAAAAGCATGTTACCTATGTGGTTTTTAAAAATGGTCATTGAGCCACTGGGCTGATTTTTTTAAAATACAAGATTGTTACGTTTCTTGAGCTCATACTTCTCAAAGGCATTTTACTTTATAAGAAACGTTATTTTACTTCCTTTTTCATTTCATTTCATTTTATTTTAAAACTTCCAGACTCTAAAGAGAAAACAATAATTTACTAGGACTTCTGTTTAGATATGATAAGAACCAGAGTTTGTCAGGTCTTATCAGCAGCATGGGTGAGAGAGGTTCCCATTGTCTTTTCACTGAACTGGTCCTTAGGAATTGGGAGGAGGAAAGGCAAAAAGCACATTTTGCCACAAAAAAGAGATTTTTTTCCACTTAAAAATTTATTTTTAAAATCAAATGTGTAACCTTTTAAAAATCTGGACAGTATCACCTAGAACATCTACAATTGCCACTGCCTTCATCTTTGAATAAGAAAATTAAATTGCCCGCTATCATAAAACAGCCTGGAGAAAGGAAAAGAAATCTTTGCTTGCTCAGTAGTAGAAAGATGATCTTAAATAAAATGTTCATGCAACTTTTATTGGCACCTCCCTCTCTTTAAGGCTGGGGATTAATTTAAAACTGTGGTTAAAGCCCGGATTTGGGATGGAGGAAGCCAAAATGAGCCCCAAGGAGATAGGTGGGGGTGACAGCCAGAGGACCTGGAAACTTGACCACGGGCTCAGCAGGACCGGGAGGGCGCTTTCAGCCCAACCGGTGCCCCTTGGGAGCCGACCCTTCTCCGCTTCCCAACGGAGCCTCTGCCTGGGACTGTGCCCCAGCCCAGGCCATCCTAGGCTTTCTGAGGGCTCCCTCACTGGGGGTTCACTTCTAGCCCAGTTTAGGCCCCTTCTGCTCTTACTGTAAAGCCCACCACCACCACCACACCGAGCCTTGACTTGGCGCCAAGGCGGCTTTCTGCTTCATCCAGCAGCTAGTGGCGCCCGGACAATAAGCGAATTGCAGAGACGACGGCCTCTTGGGCTCCCCGAGCGCCCGCACCGCGCACCCTCCCGGGGTCCCGGGCTCCGAGCCCAGCCCTCCCCCTCCTCCGAGGCCGCTGACCTCCCTCACCTTCTTCTCTCCTGCAGACTTGGCCCTTTATGGTGGCTGGGAAACCAGAGAGTGACCTAAAAGAAGTGGTGACCGCGAGCCGCTTATGTGGAACCACGGCGTCCTGACCTTGGAGGTGCGAGTCTGGGAAAGGCGCACTCCGGGGGAGCGGGCCCCGGAAGGCGACCCCTGCCCTCCCTGCTCTCTGTCTCTGCTTCCCCCTCGCAGAGCTCCTCTCCCCATCCCACCCCGGAACACTTTACAACGACGAGGAGATTCGTTTCCAAACCAGAGGAGGTCGACTGTATTTACGGATTCCCATCTATTTAACTTTATTAACTTCTACCGTGAATGGTTCTGCGAGCCTTGCTGGTCCAAGTGCAATATGTAATTATAAATATATAAATAGATAATAAGAGCCTATCAATGTGTATCTTTTTGTACAATATGTTGTAAAATGTAGATCATAGAATAGCTGACTTTGACAGTCACATTTATAAAGTAATTCACTTAAAGATATATATTTTTGTCAAACAAGTTTTGCTACTTTCAAAAATAAATCTTTCTTTATATTGCTAAAAACCCTGGTATTGGTGTGTTTTGTTTTGTTTTGTTTTGTTTTAATTATTAGGAAGGAAAAAAATGAAAACCATGGGAAAGTTTGATTTAAAAATTGGAAAACCATGGGAAAGTTTGATTTTTAAAAATGGCTATTTTAAACCTCAGTCCTAACTTGTAGTAAAGGATTAAATATAAATTCCACCATGAAGATGCAGGACATATTCAGTTCTGAGATCTGAAAAAGAAACTCTTGCAAGTTACTTTAAAGACCATTAGAAATAGTGTAACTGTAAACAGAGAATAAGCAGGATTAAAATTATTTAGTTGCACAGATCAAGAGGGAAAAACAACACACACACACAAGCACACAATCCACTTTTCAAGAAAGTAAACTCCACAAACTACAACTTTCAGGGTGTGGTTGTGATCGCAACAATCCATGCTTGCTGATTAGTGAAGAAACAGTGGAAACTATGAAAGATAAATTCCATATCTTTTAAGGTGTGTTTTACGATTTCTACGAGCTGCAACATACCTTATATATTTCTTCTTAATAATTTATTAATTCTAACATTAAGTGTGCATGTCTGCATTTTGGCTAAGGTTACCCTGTGAGTTTAGCTCCCACCACGACTTCCGGCGGGCTGGGTTTTAATTTAAACATCTTCCAGGCTACAGAAGGGCTCCGAGGGGAAGATTACGTTGGGATAAACAGAGAGGCGAGGCAGAGGAGCCTGGAACCCTGTTCCCCACTGCCCCTGCGCAGCCCTTGGCCGCCTATGCGCCAGATGCCACCGGGGCTGTTTAATGTTCGGGGTTATGACCGCAGTGTTTACAAGACGTCTTCGATTATTTATACTGTTATTCCTCGCAGAGGGCCTTGAAACTTCCGCTTCATTTGCTCTCTTTTAGATTTCCCTTCGGTGTTCCCGGCTCAGTGTGGTACCTGGCATAAGGATCTCCCCACCCCGTCCCTCTTCCTGCCAATCCCAAAGGCCCGGCCTGTAGCCTGCTCAGCTGGTCCGGATTAAGGAGCCACTGCGCCCCGAGGTGCCCTGTTACCAAGTGTAACTCCACTCTCCTGGGGCTGGGAACTTTGGCGACTTCTCAGGACCTTTCTAGGTTTCTGGTAACATCCCAGTCCCATCCCAACTTGACTTTCCTGAACTCCTTTCAAGCTTTGGGCACCTCCACTACACCAAACTCACCCCTTTTGTTCACTTCCACCAGAGGGAGAGACCCCTTGCCTCAACTGAGTCACAGCTCAGGTCGGAAGACTGGTCCTAGAAAGATTCAGTTATTGACCTTTCACTCTCAGCAAACTTTCCAAGTTTTTAAGCAGTTTTTTTTTTTTAAAACAAACCAAATAAATGCTTGAAATTCAGAGCGGTCTTTGCAGGCAGCCCCCATAGAGAAGTGATTTCTTCTCTCTCATTCTCTTACAACCCTAACAGCAGGCAGACAGTTTTTAAAGGTTCTGTGCTTCCTAACAATGATGTGAAGCCCTTGCAGGGCAGAAGAAAGGTGGCCTGTGTGGGGAACATGTGGATTCCATTCTGCAACCAGCTAGGTGTTTCCTAAAAGGCCCCCCTCCTCAGTTTTCTCGTTCTTGCAAATAAAAAATAAAGGTGATTATAGTTATAATCATTCATACTGTGGTCTTTTGTGTCACAAAGTCTTAATGAGGCTCAAACATGAGTGCAGTCTCATTATAAAGGAAAGGCTCTGTGTACATGCTGGTCAAATGGCAGGTGGTGAACTCTAGACCCAAACTGAAAGCATTTCAGGCAGGAAGCTCAAAGGATGTGTGTTTATAGTGGAAAGGGGATTATCTTTTTATTGCATTAATGTGTCTCTTTGATGCAACCTTGGACCCTTCTCACCTTTCACCTCTTTTTAATAATCTCCAAATTTGTCCAGAGTTGTCTAACGAGATGATTCCCAGAAATCCAAAATCCGGGAAAATTCAGAGAGCCAAAAGAGAGATGTAAGTAAGTAGGAAATGCTGTTGTCTTGATGGGGACACACAGCCTCATCAGGGGCCTTGACAGAGGGGCTTAGGCACATGTGGGTGTCCATGGATATAGACTGAACAAATAAAACACCGGAGAGGGAATGAATGGGTTATGGTTGCCACTACCCCAGAACATGACAGTGTGACTTCCCCACACACACCTCCACTACCATACCCACGCAGCCTACACATGCAACCTACAACCTAGACAACCAGTGCACACCCAGCTTCCCTGTCCCCTCTGTTCTCCTTGTGTCTCTCACAGAAAGCACAATTTTCAGCCTACCTGGTGCCCAGCCCAGGTACTTGCTGTGTTGCAAGAACAGGAATGACCCTGTCTGTGCTAAGTCAGTAAAGGTGGGGGTGAGTGTTAGAAAGTATCTTGTGACTTCTGCTCTATGAAAACTACCTTAGAAGGTGCATTCAGAAAGAATCTGGGGATGTGCTCACTTTGTCAGCATATACACTAAAAAGAATTGGGGGAATAATTCAGGGGGCTCAAACAGATGTATGGAGGGAGAATGAAATGTCTCAAAAAAAGTGTTAGTTCTCAGGAGGAACAGATGTGTTTGCATTGTATTATAGCAGAGGAAATTCTCCTCTCTCACTCTCTCTAACAAGCAGTTCAATATCCTTTTAGCAGATGTTTCCACTGTCAAACTAGAGACTTCTTTACTGAAAAGAGAAGAGGTGAACAGCTCTGTGGCCCATTGGGTATATGTATTTAATAATTACTAAAAGCTTTGCCTAATGGACATTTAAGCTCTCACTCCTTTTGCCAGGCCACCTGTTGGTTCCAACCTTCAGAGGTGCTGATTGAAGAAGTCTGGGGTGGGGGCAGGAATTGGTATTTCTCACTAGTTATCATGCCATGCTACTGCCCCCTCACCGACTAATCTAGGAACATTTCGAGAATCACTGTTTCAAGATCTGTCTTATCAGGCAAAAAAAGAGAGCAAATTCAGAGGTAAAGGAAATGTTGCAGCGAGGCTCCAGCTTCATTCAATTCTATTCACTCTAAGATGGCAAGCAATGGATTCCTCATTCTCAATTGCCCACCTGGAAAGAAAACCCCTCATCCTCAGAAAATAAAGAATTTGTTCCACCCTAGGGAATGGATGCGTGTATGCTCATCTTATGGACTCAAAGATAAATTTCAGTCACTAGGTGATGAAATAAAGAAAGACTTGGGTGGATTGAAGCCACCCCGCTCTTCGCTCCCCTGCGACCTCTGAGGGGAAGGAAAATCTGGGGTCCCGGGCTCACACCCCCTGCCAGAGGGCTCCTCGGTTCATTCCCAGGCATCGCTTCAGCGTGTGGTCGGCTCCGCTATGAGGTCAGAGCTCCATGCGTGGACAAGTGGAGTTGGAATTGGGGTGCTGCGAGGACGACCGGGGTGCGGGTGAGCAGAGAGATGGGATAGGGAAGGCCTCCGGCGGCTTTTCTGGGGAGGAGAAGAGTTGATGCAAGTAGCGGGCAGAAGAAGGATTTGGGCTCCAAGCCAGAGCCTACAGCGTCTTCTTTCCGTCCCTTTCCCTGCGTTCTCGGGAACAGCGGGGCCTCGACCGCAGCTCGGAGAGGCAGCCAGGGAAGCTTCTGTGTTGCTGCAACGCACTGCGGAGAACGCGGCAGCGGGCCGGGCACAGCTAGCCCAACAAACATTCTTTCTAAGCTTTGCATCCTTTTTTCCAAATTCTGGCTCTGCTCCTGGAAACTCTCTGAGTGCCAGCGGCGCTCTTGAGAGTCCATCCAGCTTCCTCCCGGCGTCTGGGCGGTTGGAGCCTTTGATCTTGAGAACCTGGCAGCTTCTGCTGCTCCACCCTCTACCCTGAAACCACCCAAAAGATTAGCTTCTGAACCCCTCAGGGCAGAGGGAGGAGAAAGGGTGGGAAAAAGCTCACAGACCAGCCATTGGGAGTGCTGCGGAGGAAAGAGCCCAGAGGCCCAAGAGCAACGTCACGGCCGTACCCCGTACTCAGCATCCTATATAGTGCCTGACACCTCTGTAAACTTGGAATCATGAATGAATTCTTAACTCTTAGAGGGTACGGAGGAGGAAGAAGAAATGATCGGGGAGGAGGGAAGTGGGGCTATTCTTAAGGTTAAACTGAACGTGAGCTCTTTATTAAATCTAAGTGCATATCTGAGAAGAAAGAAAGAAAGAAAAGAAAAGCAAGCAGACACGGAGGGCCAGATGGAACCAACAAGGGTGAAATGTTTGAGCTGGCTTCTTGGAAGACTCAGGTGAAATACATTCTTTCCTTTGGCAGTAGAAGACATATTTCTTTATGTCTTTATTAAATTTATCGGTACATATTAAGTATACAACACAGTTACATTCATCGCTGGGATCTTGTACCTTTATGTGACTTATCAGGTCCTTATTTTTCCCATTCTCCAGCCCTCCCCTCAGTCCCTCCACCCTTCCCAGTTTACAAAGTTATTGTTTCCAAGTTTTTCCCTTTCTCATAGTTTTTCTTTTCCCTTTCTCCTACCCCCCCACACTTCCTCTACTCTTTTAAAATTTTCTTCCTATTCCACAATATCAGTTATACATTTTAATACTTATTTACACTTTTAGTTTTTCACACCAGAGAAATTATTTGGTAGTTACACATGTGTAACTTATTAATTTCACTTAGGAGTATAGCCTCAATGTGCATCCACTTAGCTATAAATCTCTCTAGTTTCTCATTCTCTACTCCATTTTATTAAAAAAAAATCTTTATCCAGTTCCCAGTTCATGAGCAATTGGGCTGCTTCCAAATTTTAGCTATTACAAACTGTGCCGCTATAAACATGGTGAGCATATATCACTGTGGTATGATTCTTTTAATTCTTCTGGAAAAATAGCGCG